CAACGCAACTACCTTTTTTCGTTATTTGTACAAACACAGACGCTTCCAAATGTGCTGACTAGATGGAGTTTTTTCCGCTGCATCTCTAAGTGTATTTGGAAGCGTCTGTGTTTGTACAAATAACGAAAAAAGGTAGTTGCGTTGAAAAATCGAATGTTTCTCATTCGTTTAAAAAATGAGTTTTTTTAACATTTTTCGAGATTTTTGTAAGTATTTTTTTGGAATCTTTGGTTTCGGAAAAGTGACTTAACAACTTTTCAACGCTCACAGGTTTGTAGTGCTCGACGAGCTCTATCGAACTATGTAAAGATGTTGAAGAAAAAATGTTTATTCTGCATTGGAATGATTGGCGTCTTATCTTTCTACCCCAAAAAAGTGTACAATTTCTAAAACTTTCTTAAGTTCGACACTAAAATACTTTGATAAAACTTACTATTTAGCATCAATAAATCTCGTTTTCGACGGGCTTTCATCTGGTATAAAATTCATTACTTACCCTATTCGCAATTATAGCGTTACCCCCCTGGAAAAACATTTTTACGCACCCTGTACTTTGCAAAAGTCTGAGGTGTTGTAGACAGTGGCGTGTTCTGAGAAGATACGAAAAATATTGTAGAAAAGATCTAAAAATCCACCTGAGGAGGCGCATACTCTGTGTTCTAAAAGCAGACTCGTCTAAGTCACTTCTTTAAGTGGAACTTGTGGCTGATTTCACGGTATGAGATCCTCCTTAGGAAAAAAACAATATTAGTTGCTTGACGACGGCTTTTGGTGTAAAAACAAAGACTAAGAAGGACAAGATTGTTATGAAAGTTTTCCACACAGTAAAGTAATTTTGTTTTAATAGTATGCATCTTTTTAAATGTATTTCTTTAAATTAAAGTATGGATTTACAATGAATAATGAAAATCAAGTTTTATATAAGGTAGTATTTCTGTGTGTTTGCATCAGAATCGAAATTAAACTGAGCGTGAATATACACTGAAGAATGTGTGTCTAATAATGTTCATCTCTTCGTATATATAAGTAAATTTATTCTACTTTTTTCCGAAAGACTCTTATAGTTGTCGAGGTTTTCAGGGCATCCATTATAAACTCCTCATTATGTATACCTTTATTGATAAATCTATTACATGAAAATAAATACATGGCAGGAAGCAAAGCAATGTTGGCTGGTGTCTGCACTAAAAGAAAGTTTTTAGAGACTGAGTTGTTTCAGGTTGTAGTAATTAAATGTTGATTTTCCAGCGAATGACACTGTTGTTTTTCCAATAATAATTACCAGCGTTTGATGTAAACAGAGGAACATCTAATCCAAGAGACTCTTGAACCATTTAATTATCAATTTCATCATCTGTATGAAGTGTTTCACGTTCAAAGCCTCTATAAACCGTGTTACATATACTAGCATCCAGTTTGCCCGAAAACTCTTGCATTGTAATTAAATTTGCTGGCGGTGCTGTAGATTGTTTTTTATCATTTTGACGTTTCAAATTCTTCAACGATTCTGCAGAAGGTTTGTCAGAAAAACATTTTTTTACATGCTGTTTAATAGTTGATAACAGACGATGTTGTTTTGGTAGTGAACGAACATTTGTCGTTGATGTGACTACTACATTTTGATATTGATTTTTTGATTGTGGTAATTCTTCGACAAATAGTTGTTGCATCGATGTCTGGTATTGTGAAAATGAATCGACTGATTGCTCACACAAGAAACGATCGTCATTTTTATTTTCAATTGGTGAGAATTTATAGAGAGTAGCTGAAACACGTTTGAGACCTGATTTTTCTAAATTAAATGTACTAGTACACAGCTGTTTTTCTTTCTGTTGTTGAACAGAACGCGATTGAAATACTATGTTATTATTCGATTTTGTACTCTTTTGTTTTGCGAACATTTGATTTGTATTTTTTTTTATTGTATTTGGTATATAACGTCTAGTCTTATCGTTTTCTGTCGTACGAAGAAGACTGTCGACACTTCGAGCACGAGAATTTGTACAATATAGAGGAGTGGTATGTCGACTAGGATTATTATTTTCTGTTTCATCTGAAATAGGTGACGAACCATTTCCAGAATCATGAATATCGTTATTACTCACAGTTGTTGGTTGTTCATATGAAACCAGAGAAAGACCATCTGTCGTTGACAATGTTTCGCGTGAAACTGATCTCGTTGTTGTTGGTCGTTCGATTGTATTTTTTAACAACTTGTTGAAACATTCGTTTAACTCACTATCAAGCAAGACCATGTTTTGATCGCTTGTAGAAGATGTTTGCGATAATGTGGGTGGACTGCCATCACTATTATTCACTAAACTAGATGATGAGCAGTTCATTTGAAACATAGAAAATGTTAGGTCATTGAAGCGTTCGTTGAAATATTCAAATTGAGGAGCTTTATTGATTTCATGTGGATAATCAATGATACATTCATTTGATAAATTTGATATATTCATATCGTTGCTTTTATTCAAGACAGTGTTTTGATTACTTCGGTAAATATACTTGTCCTGCTCTGGGTAAGTCTTTATCACAGATGGCTCTAATATCTTCAGTATAGTATCACATTTTAATGCATCTAATGACAAATCATCATCCGAATAAAATAGTTTCCGTATCGTTGGCTCGGTACGTTTTGGTGTAACAAGCGTATTAAACTTATATTTTTGTGACATATCTATTGAAGATTCAACTGCTCTACGAATATTAGACGGGGCGTCCGTTGGTAAGACATCGTTCTTACGTTTAGTTAGACGAGGCCTTGATCGCTGTGGTGACGGTGACAGAGGAGCAAAGAACGGTAGAGATGGTGTTTTTGTTCGAACATCGGTATTTTGATTAACACTAACAAATACTGGTTGCACTACTATTTTACCATCTTCCTTTATTGATTTTTTATCGCGTTTAGTCATTGGCAAAAGCCATTTCGTAGGAAATTTGAACTTTTTCTTTTTTTCATGCATGATTTCTACAAAAAGACAAACTTTAAAACGATCAGTTTGATCATCCAGATTAAGCTAGTACTTATATTATTATAGCTCATAGCGTCACTATAGTCAAAGTCCATCTAGTATAATATAATAAGGTGAAACAGTAATATTTTAATTCAATCTCATTCATAGCTAGACAAATAGATAATATCCTAGTCCCTTTTTTCTGGATAAATCCCTAGGGAATCACCCAACGGATTCCCCAAGGAGTTGTAAGGGAGTTTAGCCCCTGGGGATTTCTCAGAGAGTTCCCACAAACGAATAAATGCTGAATTAGACTCCTATGCTCAATTTTAAGCGTAATTTAGCATTTTTTATCGATTTTTTTTATCAAATTGAAATTTACTTTATATAAGAAAAACGATCACGTTCTTTCCAAAATTCTTTCTAACCTGAGCCACCTAATGAACGAGTCACCCAGCTTAAAAGTTAACTCACATTGAAACGACTAGTTAACGCCGACGAGTCTCAGGCGGAAGCAGCTACACTTATCTAAAAAAGAAAGAAATTAATCTAAAAGAAAGAGATGTTCCTATTCAAATTTTCACGTTTTATATACACCTACAGACGCAAAACAAAACGGTGAATATGTTGTACATTCTCCCTAAGAGATACCTATAGAGCCACTAGGGACTTCAATATTTTTGCTCACTCACTGAAAATCAGGGAGTCACCAGGGATTTTACAGAGGATTCCTGAGAACTCACTAGGGATTTCACGCTATTTCGGGGACTCATCGGGAACTCACCAGAGATCGCACGTTTTATCAGGGAAAGTGGACTAGATATCGTTTTATACGAATTATTTTTAACTGAAACAAACATATCTTTCGATCTGCTGTCATTTGGACATTTAATATCAAGTAATTACGTTTATTTAATTATTCAAATTCTGACACTTACAGAAAGTTAATCTCATCTCGTTATTTTTTATTATTTTAATATGTTTTTTCTTCATACACATACATACATATATTTAAATTATTAAATAATTGTTGTTCGAAAAAAAAATAATGTAACGCAATTTTGACAGGTTAATACTTGTAAAAAGAACTCAAAACATAATCGTTTTAACCATTTCGTTTTTAAAGCTACAAACAAAACAAACAAAATGAGTGAAAAATAATAAAAAGTAATAATCCAGTTTTATTATTTAAAGAGAAAAAAAACACGTATCTAGACTACTAATCATGAGATCGATTAACTTGTTAGTCTAATACGTTGCCCATCTTGTATAGAATATAATCTCTGTGAAAAACTCTTGAAGTAGTCTGTAAACTGATAAAAAAAGATCTCATTACTCTGTTATATTGCAAAAATGCAATTGATTCGATGACGCTTCTGCACTACACACATATCAGGATTTCGGAAGTTTATGTCCTTTGTTAAGTTCTTATCACGTTTAGTGAGATATCAGCAAAATCAGCGCTCTCTAGAGTGTAGCACACTAAATGCCTCAATAATTGCAACAAAGAACTTGCAAGAAGGAGATAAAATTCAAAAATCCTGATATGTATCTAAATTTCTGTAAAACTTTTATCCAAACAATTGTGTTTCTGCAATATAACAAAATTGCACGAGAGACTTTTGTCAGTCTACAGCCAAATAAGAACACATTTTTCTGACAGATTTACCATATTTTGCTTAATACATGTTACTATTAGCGTTTACAAGATATAATGGTACTAAACAATGTATTCGTGAGCTTGGAATACTAACAAAATATTGAAAACACATCTCTGCGTTATAGAAATCATTGAATTAGTAAATCTATAGTCTGACTGTTCTTTTTCTTTCTTTATCCTCATACTTCTTATAGAATAATAAAATTTTCTCACAAGTATTTTTTAAAAAAACATCATGTTGAACCGAATAAAATTCATTTGATTATTTGATTTTTATTACAAAAAATAACAAAGCTCAAAATGTTATGAATTTGAAGGAGAAAAAATGGTCACTTCACAAAGTTAACTAACATAAAGCTTTTTTTGATCTTAATCAAAATTTAAATTATATAATGTTAGTGAACTTTTTCAATAAGAATAAAATATTGTACAAATGAGAGAAACAATTTATAGAAAAAATATTTCATCGTGTAAAATAACATTAAAGTAGATTGTAGGATTGTAGGAAAAAGCGATAATTTTGGCGAGAAAAAATATTTGTCTCACGAGACTAAGTTTTAACAGATACTCATTGATAAGAATTACTGTCTTAATGAGTTTGATATGGATGTGAAGTACTAACATTGATGATAGTCAAATGATGATCAAAACGAAACTGATCTATCGTTAAGACATTAACAAATGCAATGATAATATATTTACATGGTTTTCTTCGTTCATGAAAGAGTGCACATTTTTTATTAAAAAAATATCATTGTTCTGTCAAAATTATTTGATCTTTTTCTTAGAAATAAATAAATTGGAATTATCAAAATATGTCCCAAATAATTAGGTAAACAGTTGTCTGGAACAGGATTCCCGATCAGGGAGGAGGCCAGCTTAGGAACGGAAGGGGCTAAAAATTTTGCTTGGCAGAAAGTAGCTGGCGAAAAAAAGTTTTCGAAATTTTTTGCAGAAAGTTGCTGGTAGAAAAACGTCAAAAATTTTGCCAGAAAGTTCAAAAAAATTTCCAGTGGGGCTTCCCTGATCGGGAACTCTAGTCTGGAATTAGTGTTCATTAATATACATACAGTTTTATTGCTAGTGTTTGATTGATATATTCAGGAAAAAATACAAAACTAAATAAAATATTTATAGCATTTGAGAGACACACGTATTGTTAAAACTCGAGAATTTTTGAACATTGAGATGGTCAATAGTCAAATAATAATATTGGTATACAACATGTGAAAAGTGAATTAACCATGATTCCTCTCAATATATCTGAATTGACAAAAATATATTTATATAAAGCACAGTAGAATGAAATTCCGATGTGTCTAACATTTATTGAAAAGTATCAATCACTCATGATGAATGTAGTCTCTAATCAACTCATAATTCTAATTGAAATCTAATAATAAATGATATTGAACATGTTCAACATTATCGCTGTTACTAATACACTTGTGAATATCTTACTAATAAAATTAGCTAACTATAGATGCCAATTTTATTTGGATATTAAACAATATAACAAACAAGAAATACAATACAACAAAAAACAAGATCAGACAAGAAGAACGGCATTGATACATCCATCGTTTTCTGGATGATTTGTTACTTGCGCATACTTCCCTTTAAAAATAAAGAAGAAAGAGATAAAATATCAGAGAATATAGAGAAAGATCTTCTATTTTACCCCATACAACTTTGCCTCCTTGTGTCACCAATCCTTAAAGAAGAACATTCAACAACGTTCATCAGAAAGACTCATGAAGTTATAACAACATACCTAACTCACTAACATTCACCTAAAAGTAAAAATATGTAAATATAATAATAATAATAATAATAATAGTTTAGTCTTAGAGCTGGGCAAGTCAACAGGAATAAATTTTAATTTATTGTGATTATAGCCTGAAAACAACATTTGAGGAACTCGAAGTGAAAATTAAATAGAAAACTGAATTCAAACAATAACTTGTTCCTAAACTTAGACTAATTTATAATGTGTCTTACTCAGCTCTAGTTACTATTCAGTGTGATATATTTACCTCTAATACTGTTCCTTTTGTAATTACACCCAGTGATGTATATAATGGTGAACTAGGATTCTTTTTAACGCCTAAAATAGGCAATTGAAATGTGGCTTTTAATTCTGGATGTGTAACATGAGCTTTTGTAAATCGTAATGCCTAAAATAAAAAACAAACATATTTGTAATCAAACAGTAACCTTCCATAACTCAACCTACCATCGGTCGGATAAAACGCTCATATTTTGGTGGTTTTCTTGTAAATGCTTCACCGACAAAACAAGGTTTTGTCACTAATCTTTTCCACGCTTTCTCTATTAAGTTAAGAATAATTGAATTTACCTAGCCAAATTGATTAGTTTTGTACTTACTTTTTCGTTTTCCTGATTGTACAACACGAAATACTTCAGCTTCACTCATGGCTTTCACTTTTGGTATTGGAACATCCCATTTACCCTTTAAACAATGATCAATCATGAACTCCAAACCGATGCAGATCTGATGAAGAACAATCATTGCTATTTACCGCTTTCTCTTTTCGTTTTTGTTTGATTGAGTTTGATAATACTTTGGAACGTGTTTCTGTTTCACGATCGAGTAAATAAGTAGGCAATGCACCTTCAGGCACTTCTTGCCGTTGTTTTGTTTCCTTTTCTTCATGACTTTTGATTCTGAAGTCGAAGATCAATAGTTAATAAACGAAAAATACAAAGAAACTAACTACTCACGTTTTTTTCATTTGAATTTTCTCATTATGCCGACGTTTATTGTACAATTTAGCCCTAAAAGAATAAAAATTAAAATATCAATTTTGGATAATCATGGTGAAAAAACAACACCAACTTAATGCCTCGTAAAGTTTGAGCTTTCTTGGAGAGAACATGCGGTAAACGACCTTCTTTTTTCTTTCTAAAAACGAAAACAGATAGTTTATAACTAGTACTTTTACCTTGGTATTGACTTACAATTTTTCAAAATGATTGAAACGATAACCGTGACGTTTTCGATGAAGTTCAATATGTTCGTTTTGAGGCTAAAGAAACGCAGATATACAGTGGAGAAAACAGATGGAAAAAAATATTACAACTAACCATAATTAGATATAGTACAATCTAAAATGAAGACAGAGAGACATAGTACATTCAACAAACAAACGAAATATTCACAGTTTTTGAAGATAAAAAGAAGATAGAAATTACAGAGATACGACTTTTTTTACATGTGAGCATAAAGTCCATAAAATTCGGAAAAGTTTCTAGACTTGTGCCTTGCTTTTGTTTTTCCTGTCGATTGCTGATTTTGTAAGGTGCCAGTAGTTCAAAAACTCAGTGAAATTTTTGTTCGCGGTTATTTGACGTGGTTGGATGAAGAATATGTGATTTTAGTCTTTCAAAAAATTCAAAAAACTTGAAGGGTGTAGAATCTCGAAAAACGCCTAATTTTTAAACAACTGAAAACCGTCTTTTGAAATTACTCAAGTCTACCTTTATCACTAAAATTTTGGCGCCAAGGCTAAACGCTCAAAGGTGGATTTTTCATTTTATAAAAAAGGTTGAGAACCATCTAAATCGATACAGAATTTAATTCTGCACAAAAGAGACCTCTCCGAGGTTTTCAGGATCTTTCCCATATAACTATTAGGGTTTGAGACCGACACTACTACTTTTTTCTGTTCGCAGCAGTGTTTTAAAACCTTCCAAATGTCCTAGAAACATCGATTTTGGCCAAAACCACTCAGCTTTTGGTAAAACCGGAATATCTCAGCAGCAAAACAAAATTTCGAAAAAAGCTTCCCGTACTTTTGAAGCTCACACTTTGGCAGTTACGACGAAATGCAAATGGGAGCTATGTGTCTCAAGAGGAAAAATTAGATAGGTTTACAAAATGAAAAATCAACCTTTGAGCGCTTAGTCTTGACGCCAAAATTTTAGTGATGAAACTGGACTTGATTAATTTCAAAAGACGGTTTTCAGACTCAGTTTTACACGCCGAATAAGAAACTGCTGGTTTTAAACCTAAAGACAGTGCTCAGAAAATGAAGTTGTTTGAAAATTAGGCATTTTTCGAGATTCTACATCCTTCAAGTTTTTTTGATGTCAAAAAATTTGATTATTGCATGCGCTGAATACAAAAAAGCAACCTTTTAGTAAATCTGCATGAACTTTATTTTTCCGGCCGTGTTCAAAAAAACTTTCAAAAATCGACCGAGAGAGAGTAGCACGGAATTAATTAATCAATTTCGGTGTATTGTATCTGTATCTTATTTGAATTTTTTACAAATCGCTCATTTTGAGAAATTGCACAAGAATAATCTGTGGAATGGTTAACAAAACCAGTCCTGGGTAATAGATGGCGTATGCTTCAAGTTTTATTGGTTTAACGCAAAATCAAATAAAAGTTCTGAGGTTTTTAAGTGAAGCGGCAACAGCGAACGACGTTGTTTTCTTTTAGCCCCAAATAGTAGCGCCAAGAGTTAGAGGAGCTTTTAGCACCTAAGTAGCTAAAAGGAAATATGAAAAATGCAGAGTAGGTCTAAAGATGGCTGCCGAAATGGTTAAATTATACATTTTAATTAGAATCATAGTTTCTTATGAGCATAGTAAAAAAACAAAAAAATGAGACTTTCAATGCATTAATTTTGTAATCAGAAGAATATACATAGCGACGTCTATGTATTTATTCTATTCGTCTAGCTATGTTACATTGCAAGTTCGCTATCTGATAAAGTTAAAGGAATGAATCGGACATCGTAGCAGCTAAAAAATGATTGTACAGCACACAATCTTGTATACACTCTAAAAAAGCTCCGAAGCTTATAGGATGGGTATCGATTTTGGCGTTTGATCCTAGCAGAAACGGATATCCATATCGTACAGTCCTGGGTGCCGTATCACAAAAAACTTAAGTCTGGCTTAAGTCAAAATTTCGACTTAAGAGCCATTGCACGGAAAGAACGACCGATTTCCTTATGTGGTGCTCAATCGATGTTCGAACCAGCGTTATCGATTAGGGGGTGGCATACCACCTCCTCGCTTGGATATAGTTACTCAAAAAATTTTGACTTACTCAAAGTTTTTAAGAAAATTAAATAGAGAAACTGTCTGCCGACATATGTGAATTCGACCTTCGCATATGGGCGAAATCGTATCTGCAAAATTGGAAAATATTAATAATGATCGTAGTTTTGGGCTAAATTCTTCTGTGAAAAGTAAAAGTATTTGACTAAACACGAGTTTCACTGCACAGAACACGTGTTGTTCTACTCAAATTTATAGCTTTGATCTGAAAAAGGTAGTTCACTAGAGGAGCAGGCCATCTCAAAGTTCAGAGAAAGTGAAAATGGAGCATTTTAAAAATTGAGTTTTTATGTCCGAAGGCACTTGTTATATAAATCGACATAGTCAGTCGTATACTACGCCACATGGACTATCTGGCACTAACTTGCGTTTTGGAGCATACTCATAGATGGATTAACTGGAGCGGTCGGAAGGACCCCAGAAATGATGAAAAACGAACATCGCAAGATATAATCTTGTAGTATCTCAAATGAAAAAAACTAATAACTATAAATAATTTAATGTTACTGCCATTGACAAACGTTGCACAATTATTTTTTTCTCAATTCTGAGCTTTTGTTGTTGAAGTAGGTGATCATTTCTTTGCTACGTATTGTGGATACAAGTGCTTCGGCAGCTGATGCATCACATTTGCAATACTTCGAAGAATGGCTTTTTCTCAGTTTAGAAAGTAGACTATACGACGATCTAATAGAGAAATACGCGTAGTGCCAGTTCTACCCCATGCACAAATCGTAATCAGTTTTTTGCCTGTTTTAATTTTCACCAGAAAAACCACATGATGATTTGGTTCATTAATTACCATCAGTTTTTTTAAATAAACCTTCAAAACAAAGTTGTTTATTTTCTTGTTTGTCGTTGCCTTTTGGCAATATCGTTACACAAGTTGTCCGTTGTACGGTTCTGGTGTTAAATGGATGTCTGACAGTAATGATAGTGAATCGATGACGATTATTAGTTTGGATCTGGCCTGTTTAAGAAAAGAATTTTTCTTCAACTTTGTTCATCAAAATTACAAACAAAATTGATTCACTTACTTAACGTTTCATTAATCCAGCATTGTCTTTTGATGTAGACATGAAATGAAAACGATGGGATCAACTTTGGTACGTCTTTAACTAAATGACATGTTCCATATTTGGTTCCCACACCTCGGTATTGTACAGCTATACATCGTTTAGCAGCATCACATTGTGCTTTACAAAAACGATATTTGACGCGATAACCGTGCATTGTTTTCGCGATACTATGCTTTGGTACACGAGTTCTCGGATAAATCCGATATCGACATACACTGAATACTTCCGGATTTTTTAAAATTGATTCTAAAGAAAATGATAATTGAGGCTTTATCATTTTTTTTCTTCCTTCCATACTTTCTGCGCACGACGTGCGATGGTACACTCTCGAATCCATATTTATTTTTGCTTTTGAATTGCATATATGCCCAAAGAATCGACATTTTCTCTGTGATATGGTATAGTCAAATGAGCGACATTTTGGATGATCGTGACACAACCATTTGCAATCGTCTACACCTTCATTTTTCAATGTCACTAATGAGTTGTAGCATGCTATCTGATGATTAGGTTGTACGGTAAAGTCAAAACATTTCCCGTCTACGACGAAAATCCAATGATGCAAAATGTAGACAACTAAAATTAAACAAAAAGTTAGTTTAAGTTTTAAATAAAATTCGCTTTGTTCGGAAATTTATCCGAATAATGCTTTTATTCAACTTGACCTGCTACATAACATGGTCTTAGACAAATTTCTAGTAACATGGACGGTAAAATACTTACTGACGACAGAGTTTAACAAATGGCTTATTAATTTAAACCTGAAGGCGCCATGTGAAAATTGTGTTTATCTTTACATAAATACTTTATTAAATGCATATTAAGTAAGGTTACGCAAAGATTTGCTGATTATAATAAAATGATTTTTTGTCGAAAAATGACTTCACGAGAAATCTCATGTTAAAAATACGAGTTTCAAACACGGAATCTACTCTATTAAGTATAACTTTCTACGATTAGCTGTAAATCTCTCAATGATAGAACGTTTTGTCATTCAGATTTTGTAACTCTGATGTAGAGATATGCAACCCGACCCGATCCTAGGACCGGTTCGGGTTATGTTTTCTTAACCCGTGCTGGTCTCTACTCCAGTGTAGCATTTATGGAAACTGGAGATCTGCACGGACATGGGCGAGTACGAACAGGCTTGAAAATATCACGGATGGGCATGGATGGGTTATTTTTCTCTCCGATGAGCACGGGTTTCTGCAAACGTATTGTGTAACAAATAAATTCCAAATATGAATTGTTTGTGAATGAAGCATATGTAGTACAAGACACATATGCCAATGAAAAAACATGATACAAGGACGAGAAAATTTTCGTTAATATATACAAGAGAATTAATTTTTTCCATAGAGAAGAAAATATATGATTTTTTGTCATACTACAGATTTTTTATCCATGGACACGGACAGACACGGGCGGCCGAAAACATTGACGGATAAACATTCCAGAAAGATCTGCGGGCAACAGGCCGAAAAATCTTGCTCATGCAGATCTCTAGTGAAACACTGTAAAATCGTTCACCCACCTAGATGGGTGATTTTATACGTAAGGAAAAACTCGTAAAGTTTTCGCAAAATTTTGGATTTTTCCACAAAAATCGTAAAATATATTCTAAAAATAGATAGGATGAAAAACAAGAAAGAAATATTTAGTTTCTGAAGATGCTAAAAAGCTTTGAAGCCTAAGAAACGATGCCTGGATTCTCAGATTTATAGTTTAAAAAACAAAGAATCGTCTAAAACTAAATAAACAATTATAAAGATATTTTGCATCATCACTTATTATACACCAAGCTTGTCACCTATATATCCACTATAGTGGGTGACATCTTTCAAAAAAGAAGCCACCCATCTATCTAGTATAGGTGAACTATTCACATAAACGGGTGATATGTGGGATGTGGGATGCGCTTCTATAGTGAAAGAAAGAGTGAAAAAAGATAAGTTATTAAGGGAAAAGGACATATGTAATAACGGGTGGGTCATAAATAATTATAGTGTTAGCATTTTCAATTTTTCTCCACTTTCTTATACTTTAAGTATAAGGAAGAAAAAAAAATTTGAAAATACTAACACTATAATTATTTATGGCCTACCCGTTAGTTCGAACGAAATTAACATATTGACGTCCTCATAAACAACCTACACTTATTGCTCTAAGGTTTTTGCAAAATAAATCATACTTCTTTCGAAATACTTATCTTAAAGCTTTTTTCGTATTTTTTAAATAGCTTTTTTTCTTTCATTTACCTTGTACGTAAAACTTTGAATTTTTACAGTATTCCGTTTGCATTTGTTCAATGTCTCAATATCAAGTTGAAAAAACCATCTTGATTCAGAAAATCATCTTCTGTAATGTAAGCAGGTTGTTTTTACATGTATATAAACACTTTATAAGATTTCTTCGTTTTGTGCAGAGCATGCGCATAAATGTTATTTAGAATAGCTAGTTTTCTATCCTGTCTCGATCAGTAATTGTAAAGTCTTGCACATTTTTGTTATCGTTTCTCAAAAACGGAGAAGTTGGTTTAGAAGAGAACAGATACTCAACTAAAGCTTCTCCGTTGACTCTAATACATGATTGCAGATGACGAGGCATAGATTCAACTGATTTATTACATGTATACGGTGGTATTTCAGATCATAATTTTTATATAATTCTTTCAAAATCTTGTATATTAATTGGACGATGATCGATCAACTTCTCATCAGTAATAATTCTCAATAGAATTTAGTAGTATGTAGTACTACATACTACTAAATTCTATTGAGAATCTCTGAATTTCGACATCTCTGAGTTCGAAATCTCTGAAGTTCGACATAGGGTATGACAGGAGGCACTATTCTGTATGAAACACCAGTTTTGACCGGATTTGAAATTTTCCTTTACAAATGACGGTAGACAAACATTTCCTAACATCGACACACCCTTCTCCATCTTGCACACGAGTACGACAGATGAATGGCTGATCTTTCTTAGATAGCAGATCATAAACAAGAACGATCCCTTAAGTCGACCTCAGTCGAGACGATTTGTGAACGCTTCACCCTTTTTTTGTTTTTCGGCGTTATTATGTACGCATTTTTTCGATACACTGGTATCTCGATAATTCTATTACATATAATAAAGTGGACCTCAAAAGTTCAGCTATATCAGTTCCACGACCCATTGTGATGATAAAAGCTGTAATTATAGACTGGGATTACGAAACATATCCATATCAATTTTCTCATGAGATTGATGCACATACATCAAGTAAAACAACTGATAATAGCAACCGTTTCTCCATACAGTATGTACATCCCAAAAGTTCAGCTGAAGTAGTGATCATTTCTATATTTCTACAGAGAAAAAACGTGATGTTTTATAGGAAAAATCTGTTGTGAAAGAATAAAGGTTATGGTATTTTCTTGCAGACCCTACTTTAATGCATACATATATCATGACAACGTTTAGCTCCAATAGGTAGTATTGTATATAAATTCACCGTCTGACATTAATAAATCTAAGCAAACTCTTCTATTTATTTATTAACACTACTATTTCTCAAACTTATACATAAATAATGGATTGAGTATTATTCTTGTAAGAGACAAAAATGCCAGTTACTAATCTATACCTCACCACGTAATTGATTTATATCATACGATATACATTTGAGATGGTCGAATTTATGCTCGTAGAAATGTTATCTTATCCTTTATGCAAAACAAACATGTATATTAGATAAAAAATAATCATGTAAAACTGAAATCGAAATACAATACCCAAATTAAATGCCATAAACGCATAAAGATTAACAGATGATGAAAATTCATTGTTTAATCACACAATTTCTAGAATATGAACAGTCGACTGTTACTGTTCGATGGGATGGATGTAGTTCATTCACGGCTGTCATTAAAATAACAGATAAAATCGATAAATTAACCTTTCAAGAAATTATTAACCTATTAATTTCAAGACGCCCGTTTTTTAATCTAACCGCTATTCTACTGTTTCAAATCAAAATTTTCATTTTTATCTATTAAAAGTTCAGCATTAGTCTACGGAATACATCAGTTTGAAAGCACACAATTAAGAAAGTTTTGATTGTATGAGGCGAAAGTTTCAACGTAAACTTTATGTATTCAAAGAACAATTTATTTTAATAATTTATTATTATTTCTAGGTTTCCTTTATTTGTCGGTGTATGTCTTTTCAAAAATAAACATCTATAATCTTAAGATTCAAATGGCAGCACCAGGTAACAACAAACAGATGACGCTTATGTTTGTTTTTGAACCAGCCATAAGTGCGGCTGACACCAATCGTTCACTAATTGCTTGTGCCACTTCTAAACGTAATCGACTTTGAGATGATAAACTATCCCAAATGACCTGTTGAATATCTTCTTCTGAGCATTGAACACCAGCGTCACGGCATTTAGAATTTTGTTCTTCTAATATTGATATCAGATCACTTATACACTGTGTCACATCACTAATATCATCATCATCTGTATTAGCCGATGTCGCTGGAAATTGACTAGAAAATCTATCATAAGTGTGGGTTTGTGTCATAAATGTGACAGGAGTTGTCTTGTAGTGTTCTAACACCGAACGTAAGGCAGTTTGTAAACGACTTGGTGCAGGCAAATGATGTGCAGGTAGACACTAAAATGCATCGAGTTAGTCATTAGTATCAAAACAAGAAAAATAATTTTTGTTTTACTTGAGTAACAAGATCAACCACGGTTTCATACGTTAATGCATTCCAAAGACCTTCCGTTCCAAAAATAATAGCTTCCAAATTTTGATCAATATTATACGTCCATGTGTATGGTTGATTTATTACAGATTCTTTGAGTTCTTTATCACCATGATTTCCTAATCCACGACTCGTTTCTATAATACCAGCAATCAAGTCATTTTCACCAATCCAAACATCTTGAGAAAAAGGAAAAATTTAAAAAATATATTTTTATCGATTGTTGTATGAGAGTTGCATACTTGTTAAACCAACACGTTCTTTTTCTCGTTTTGATTTTAATGTATGTTTTTGAGTAAGTAAAAATGCATCACCGGCGCGTACACCAAGTGCCTCAACATTGCCACAATTGGCTATATGTATTTGACCTAATATCAAATTTTCATCTAGATCGTCATTTTCAATGGTTAATTCATCGATTTTATCTGTTGTTTTAATGACAGCTGTCAATGAGCTACATCCACTCCATCGAACATTCGACTGTTCATTTCTTCCTCTCGATAACAAATAATCCATTTTCGAATGAGCCAAACGAAATGTATCAGAATAATTCATATTTTTAAAATCGACCGCAGGTAATAATCTTGAATATAATCGATTAATTAGACTTTCTTCACATTTTTTATCGATAGTCATTAAATCGTTTTCAAACTTGGATAAATCGCACAAAATAGCATCATGCATATATTCTCGACACATATTACTTGCATTTTTTCCATTATAACCGTCAAACATACCCAAATAGACAAATCGTTCATTCCCGCCTAGGAACAGACAACATACTATAATCTAAATTGACATGCTCCAACTTTTCTAATAAATTGTTAGATAAGCAACAAATTTCTATTTAAAAAAACAGCAGTGAGCATTATTAGACTAAGCAGTTGCCAATATTTAAGACGTCTAAATATAATAAAATTCTAAGATGTTAGCCCATTAAAATAACAAAGTATTCTATGAAACTAACCATAAATATGTTAGAATAATAATATCAATTGTAATCTGTGTATTTAAGTGCCTATAAAAACAAATTCAAGCAGTGTGTGCGTGTAAGTTATTAAAGAAGCATTAAACATCACATTATATACCATAACAATCAATGAAACGCATTGAATCTTCCATTTCTGCTTTATATTGACGATTTTGGATACTGCACATTCCTACACTAATCAATACACGATTACGAGGCGTAAAACTTAATCCTTAACAATAAAAACATCAGTTTTATTAAGAAAACAAAAAAATGACAATAACCATAAAATATAATTACCTTGAACTAGTTTAATATCTCGATTTTCACTTGTCCATAGACCATAATAATAGTGTTCAATATTTCGTTTTAGAATATCAAATGCTTCATCGATTAATTTAACAAACTTCATATAAGATTCCTTTGGATTCAGACGATGCATACGTTGAATAAGTAATTCTCTTCGTTTTACTAAAATATCCATATTTGTTGGTGTTTCCTGAATAAATATTTCATATTAAACTTTTTTATTCAATATAAAATTCATAAAATTACTTTAAACTTAAATAATTGTAATGCTGCATGATATGCATTATGTGACGGTAATTCATTGGCTTTCAAAAAACATTTACAATAATCACATAAAAGTGTAACATCAGGTTTAGCTGCAATATCTGACACATAATTATCCGTTGAAGATGATACTAAATGATAATAAATAAGAAAAAAAATTAAGAATATTTAAGAGTGTATTTTTATCCTACTTAAAATGTTTTGAGTTGGTGTACTTGAAAAATAATGTAATGCATCCTCGTTCTCTTTTGTTAGACTTTCACTAGATCGTTGTATATATTCATAGTCTAACATTTTTTTTGAAAAATAAATCTACAAAACAAGAACATAACAGATAAATCAAACAATCGATAAATCAAACAATCAATTTTGATTAGGGATACTTCTGTTGCTTTTAAAATGTTTACTCTAAAATTTGTATGTCTATCTCTTGTTCTAAAAGCTCCTGAGCGCCTTCATTATTTTCATTTTAGTAAGGCTCTACTGTCTTGTCTAAAGGAAAATATCAGCCAAGAATTTGAGTGTATAGACTATGTCATTCAAACTTAGAAAAGAAATGTCCAACAAATATTTAAAAGATAAAAGTACGACAATCTTATCAGTTTTATCAATTTATAGTTACTAGCACTTTTAATTTATTGCACCATTTATCATTAAAGTAATTGAGATCAAAAATAATCGAAAATATCAATAGTGAAAAAAAAGAAAAACATTCTGCAAATTGTTAATTTAATCATATATCAGTTTGTAACATCATGACTTGTGCGTTCTTTTTCAAGATCAGAAGGTTGAAATGCCATTGGTAATAAATCATTTAGTGAATATTTTTTCGCTTCATTTTTTGGATTTACCAAATAAATTTCAATATTCGGACCGAATTCAGCTAACACTTGACGACAGCTACCACAACTTGAAATAAAAATAAAAAATTCAAATAGAATAAATCTAGGAGATTAATTTAATTAAAACTTACGGTCTTGTAAAACCCCTTTCAACATCACTAAAAGAAAAGAATATTAAAATTATAAAAATAGACAAAAATGCATACAGAGATGTTTCTTACGATGTAACTGCTATTGCACGAAAAGATCTGACACCTTCGGAAACAGCTTTACAAACAGCTGTTCTTTCAGCACATGTTGCTAAAGGATATGCACAATTTTCTATATTACATCCTAAAATTGAGAAGATAAGTAAAAAAATGATGTTAAATAACATAAAAGGATATTAATAAAACCTGAATAGATTGTCGTTCCATCAGATGCTAAAAGTGCAGCACCAACTCTGAAATTACTGTAAGGACAATAAGCTTGATGTTTTGCTAAATGTGCACGACGAAATAGTTCTAAAAAAAATAAAGCAAATATAAACATATAGTACTTCTGTTCTAAGAGAACAGCTGATTGTAGCATTTCAAATTATTCAAAAAACTCATAATCAATTTAACAATCAATAGAACAATGTTGCAATACCTTTTTTGGAATAAAATGGTATAATTCATGTCAAAAATCAGACAAAATAAATCATCGATCTTGTGTCTATGAATATTAGCAGCAGTGAACAAAAATCGAAAAACAAAAAAAAGAGCAGTTTACATAATAATTAATGTTAATCATTACAAACTAATGTTATGTTTCTAATTGAATAAAAGTAATACCTTGAATAGTGGGATCGTTAAAATTATCGTCAGTCATCTGCAACATGAAAACTGAAGATAATATTCAAGCACAAACATGTGATAGAATAAATAAAATGAGTACGAATGTTTTACTTCGAACAGTTTTGCAGTGATTGTAATGCAATGAACATATCAGTAATATATGCAAAAGAAATTCTAAATGTGATATAAATGAAGACATATTTGAAAAAAATTTCAGTAACCCGATATTTGAAATAAAATATTTGATAGATTAGATTTAGAAAATATATTGAAGCATGACGATTGCTTTAGCGCATTTTTTCACTCGGAATATATACAAATATATTTAAACAGATTCATTGAACAAAAAACGAAATACTTGGCAATATTTTTAAAAAATAAAATTTGGTAAAAAAAAAAATAGAATATGAACAAACATATAAAAAACAATAAATAGACAACAATACATGGCTAGATAAAGCTTGTTTAGTCATCTTTGATGCGTACAGTGTGAAGCAAAAAAAAAAATACAAAACTGAACACTGTTTAAACGAAAAATGAGGTGCTTCACTGCCTTTCAAAAAAAAATAAAAAAACAAAAACAAAACGAAGAAAATCGGGGTAAACAAAATCTGACAATGGGTCCGAATTATGAACATGACTGGAAAAAGAACGAAGATTTTAATATTGTCATTATAAAGAACTCAATACACTTTACAAAAAACGAAAGCAAAAGAAGCAAATCTGACCAAATAATCCGAAAAAAACAAAAGTATTTAAAAGTTTAAAACATTCATCTCTATTCATAAGAAAAATAATTGAATGTGAAGTTTTATTTTATTCGTTAGAGGCGCTCTATGGTACTCGGATCATACATTTTTGGTGTGGTTCGTAGACGTGGTGAAACTCCTCGACATGGCGCTTCTTTTGAGTTTGACATTGGTCTTATATTTTGTAATGGACTTTTTTTATAGTCAGTGTTGTCATTTAACATCGTTTTTCGAGAGGAGATCGGTGCGTCAGGAGATGGTAATGATGGCGAATTGGAAGCCAAATGTAATGGTAATGAAGAAGAATGGGAAGACGGTGATACAAGCGGTGGTGTAGATTCGTGATTAGTTAAAGATGAAAGTTTTGGTAAATTGAAGCATGCTTTACGAACAATATAACGTGCATTTGATCGTGACGGTCGACATACACCTGGTTTTGTTAGTTCAGCTAAATGTAATGCATAACCATCAACTAAAAATCGTGCTTGATTTTGTAAACGACTCTTAAATTTTCCAATAACAAATGTACGATCAGGAGGAACTCTACAAGATTGATAGACGTAAACATCCTTGGAAGAACCATAGGCAGCCACAACCGTTAACTCTGAAGATTCAACGACTGAACGCAACATTTCAGCCTTATTTTTAATCGGTTCTCGTGATAAACCATCATTGAACAATGTCATTCCTAAACAAACGATTAAATTAGACAACATAGTTTTCTAACTAAAAATATTTACCATGAGGAAAATTATGCTGAGCAAGCCAATGTACAACTTTATGTTGTTGAATATCTGGACGAGCGGTTATGTAAATAATAATATAGCCAAGTTCTTGCCAATGTCTTAAAAATAGATATAATATAAAGATTAGTGTGCCAAATTGATCATAACTAAATTTACCTGACCACATCAACTGCTCCTGGACGCACTTTTGGATCACTTGCACTAACAGAAAATGAGGCCGTAAATGAGCCATCAATACTGAATACAACAGCTTCGCTGTTAGGAGGCAGCACGGTTAAATATAGATCGATTGATGTATGATCACCTCTAAATAGAGATATAAATAATGTAAAGTATAGTTTTAGGTGAATATCTTAGTAAAAAAATTACCTCACAACAAGTTTCACCGGATGCATTCCTAATGGCAGTTTCTTATCATCCGGTATCCTATATCGAATTCGACCATGTGTATCGGTTTCACTTGTATTCAATAATAACCATTCACCATAGGGTGCTGATCGCATCACATAAATATCGACCTACATTTAAAATAGTATGTTATATTTTTTCGAAAAAGATTTCTGTTTTATTCACATTATTGTTACCTTTTCATTTCCTAAGCAAACCATATCGATTGGTCCATAATGAAATTTGGCTGAAATTATTTGTGGTTTATGATCAACTACCATTGTATCATTTGCACGATGGTTCGGAGCTAAATTTCTTATCTTAACAGCCGTTGTACGATGTAGCCATTTTTCGGTCGCTTGGTCTGGAGCAAATGATCGATGAGTGGCGGAATCGCAACCAAATGGAACATTGCGTTCGGTACGAATAATCTAAAATCAATTATACATTAGCTATTAATTTTACAGAACTTAATAATTTTACATTTCTTAAAATAAATGCAATAACATCGCGAGATTCCCAATAACTAGAATGAAATACAATCGGCAATATATGCGCCGGTTGACTCATTAAAGATTCTGGACAGTACAAAATATAATCTATCCGTCGACTTCCCCACCATTCACGACGAACTAAAGAAGAAAAAAAAAGAGCTTAAATAGAAGAAAATGATAATAGAATTATCATACTGTTTGAAAATACAGTATCAGCATTTATATCCGCTTCATTCGAACCACGAGTTGTATTAACTAAACGTGTAAATGTTGGCATAACAGTATTTGAATTATTTTTTTGATTTTTCAAAAATAAATTCGAATGTCGATGAACATATTCGACTAAAATAATTTTATAAAAAGAAAAATAATTTATTTTCTGATAAAAAAAAAAAGAAAGAAAAACATCATCATACCTAATAGTGTTGATTCTCCATCACCCATTGGATACTGTGAATATCTTGGAATAAAACATGGTTGTATTTCAGCAAATTCAGCCAATATTAATGGTTCGATACGAGCTGCATTCGGATCACATGCATGAAACAAATTGTACAATTGGCCACAATATGGTTTTACCACTAAAATAGTAAGCAACAACGTGATTATTAGTAGAATACATAAATTAATTATTTGACTTTAATTCTAGCCTATATAATATAATAATATTTTTTAACTCATTTTGTTCTAACTTACGACTGCTTGTTAATAAACATCTGTAAGCCAATATCAGAGATAATGGTGAACCAAAGGAAAAAAATTCATTGACATCAAATGCTAATGTGAGTGCATAACGACTATTATCGCCCGATCGTGATCTATAGTAGAAATTAATCTATATTAGAAATACATGATAATAAGACACATGTATTGTCTCTTTACATACATGCTATCCGAATTTTCATTTTTTGTTGGACTACTATATTTTGTTGATGAATAAATTGAAACTGTATCACCATCAGCAGGATTACTTAATTTCTTTTGAGTTCCCGGTGTTCGAGGAGTACTAGAATCGTCACCATACAACGATGTATTATCATCTAAATTACGATTTAGACACATTGCATCGTATGCTAGTATCGCACCATTAGAATCACCAATAACGACAATCTAAAACAAATAACAATAATCGATAAGAACACATTTTCATTTTATGCACATCGATAGATTATACCTGTCCACAAAAATTTTTTCCTTCTTTAGATGTTACAAACTCATTATAAACTTTATTAGCAGTTCCAACAGTATTACTTAATTTTGAATGATAATAGGGATTTGATGTGGCGAATAGTGGAATAGCATGTAATGGTAAATTTTCATTATAAACCATATCTTTAGTGGTTGAAACACCATAAGGTGATAAACTAAAACATATGTGTATAAATAAAAGTTGAATGATCAATTAGATATAATCTAACTAATAATTACCTGCTGAGAACACTGATAGCCTCTGTACATATGGCTTCACATGATACAAATCTTATCGCTACTTTTTCTTCAATATGTGGATAATGATTTCTGACAACATTATCAAATGTTGAACGAAAACTTAAAAAATCTGTTTTTTTTGCACTTTCGAATGTATCTTCGGTAGAATAAATATTACCTTAAAAAATAAAATATGAAAATTTATTATATAGTGAAGGATAAATAAAAAATAAAATGACGAACCACCATAAAAAATGAGTATAAGTAAATCAATTGAACATTTATCTGATGCGGAAGCCAATTGAATTGTATCTTCATCAAGACTTGAACGATATGCATCATATTCAGTACTTTTTTCATTTAAACGAATATCTTCTAATGATGCTGTTGTATTACGTAAAGAACGATAGGTAGTCGATGTTGTTAAACTTTCAATATGAGCTAAAAATACGAAAAATATTGTGATTTTATCTAAATTACAAGTAAATTATCAAGATAATTACATTCAGCATCAAAAAATTCATCATCATCATGTTCTTCTCGAGGTAATACGGGTACTGGAAATGAGTTTATTCGAGGACGACCTGTAATAAAAATATAGCAAGAATTAATAGCTAAACAATTAGCTGTTATCATCATACTTGAATTAAGATTATCAATTGATAATTGTCTGTTTCGTCTCAGTGATAATGGTTTGTTGAGTTCAGCCGGTATTTCTTCTGTTTCTATTGTCGTTGACTGAGCAGGAGTAATGAGAACAGATGGTGTATCACGATTATGAAATTTTGCCATACGTTGATTCAATTCATGTTGTGCCTCATCTTCTAAACGTCGAATATCTGCTAATGTTAATCCCTGAAATTCTTCCTAAATTATAAAAATTATTTATTTTTAAGAAATATATATGTAAAAAATAGCTATAAATACAATATTTACAAACCTGCCAACACCATGCTTGTCTATGTGCACGAAGTATGGTCTTTCTTAACGCTTTAAAAGAGATAAATAAAATTATTAATCGACAATTGAATAGAATATAACAAAAATATAAATACCTATTTCACATATAAATCTCTCGCATTTGGATTGCATTCCCCAGTAACGAAATTCTACTCGACATAACTTGTATGCACACATAATATCTTTATTGCCCTTCTTTTTCACCTGTTCAAACCAATCAGGAGATAATGGACCACGTCCTGTTTTTTCTGAACGAAATACGGCTGGATTTTCTTCTGGCGTATCATCAGCTGTCGGACTACTTTGAACAATATCAAGAAATTCTATAATAGAAAAACAAAATATATCAATCAAACATTTTATTTTTTTCCCATTAAGAAATAAAAATGGACAAAATTTACCAACTACACGTTGTTCAACTTCTTGTGGTTTTAATTGAAAAATATTTTCTTGTTCACCATAATCATTTTTATAACATGTTTCTATTTCGAGTATAAATTTTTCGATAAATGGACATCGATAACGTGTCTTAGTGTACGGATAAGCATTCCATGCTTCTTCTTCAACACGCATGGCACTCGCCGGAATAATTGCCTTGAACCAAGCTAAACAAAAATATGAAACTTTTTAATGCTTTTTAAACTTAATTTGATGATTAAATTATTTAAAATTATACCAGGTAGATGTCGTTCAATGTGATAAATTTTGAAAGTATATTGTCCACCATTTCCTCCTGGTCCATTTTCATACGGTTCATTTTTGATTATTTCTACACCACTGCCAGCTCCATTAGATTCTTCACGACTTTTTTTCTTAAACATATAAAAGAAAAATGTTAGAATCTAAATTTATAAAATATATACATATTCTCTCATTATATAATGTTAAGTATAACCATGTTAAGCTATTAAATGTAGCAGCTAATTAAGTAATAAAATATTATAATCTACAGATATTATTTTTTTTTAAAATATATGTTACTAATTAACGCTACCCGTCCCAAAACCATATGATTGTGTATTCTCATTCTATACGTGAAATGTTAATTTCTATAGTTAAAATCATTTGAACAGCGCATATTAGCATGCCTTTAAAATATAGAGCAATTTTAATTTGCTACCTTGAAGAAGAGCTGGTAATGATCGTCTAAAAGAAAATGATTGATGGAAAATTTTTTCACGTACTATAAACACTCTCTTAATCTATTAAATCTATCCGATTAGAAGATTATTATTATTATCAATATACTACTTAAAGAATTTCATTAGTCTCTCTACCTTGTTTTTTCTTTTTATAAATAATCTATCGTGTTGGATCATTCAGTTGAAAACATTATTTCATTACTGTAAATTGTTTGTCATATAATCAAATAGAAAGAACTTCAATTTAGATAATATAAGAAGAAGGAGAAGAAGAAAAAAAAGTTGTAGACAAACACGCAATATTTGAGCAAGCGCCTCTAGAGTAGATATCAAAAATAGTAGAGGAAGTAGATGCTTCAATGATTTTACTAGATATATTGAAATGGGTTACTCTATGTTCTACTTCAACTCATATATTATTAGATATTTAGATACTTCCATTTTTTTCACATCAATGTATCTAAGATGCATCGACCTATACCATGTGCCTCTTTTTTTGTTCTTGAAAAAATGTCTATATAAAAACATAAAAGAAGAAAAGAAAAGAAATATAACATCTTTGCAAGATTAATTAAACGGATCTATAGATTTTTTAAAAGCAAAACATTATAAAAAATCTATTATCGACTTAAAAGTAGATAAAAAATTGCTCTTATTTTTTATCTCCAGAAGAGCGTTAATCAAGTTTTGAGATGAGCATGGCTAAATCGATAAGAATAATTTAAGAATGATACTAAACGTCACAGAACATGATTTAGTGGTTATGTTGTTCGTCACGTACTGTGTGTTCGAACCTCGACGCTGACAGGTCATGCAATAGTCTTGAACAAGTTACTTATGTTTTCGTGTCTCAGATCACCCATCCTACAGTATACTCACTACCTTGCGAAGCACAATACAGTTCTTCTGGCTAGTTCACGTAGCTTTGCGGAAAGCTAGTACATGATTAGTCAATGGGTATCGAGAGCTCAAAACAATTGGACGAAAGAACTCTGCATCAGGTTAGCCTTCTGTCCAGAGCTGTAGTTGATGACCAGAGAGTGACGATATGAGTGACCATATCAGAAGCTTATCAACTGCAGGGAAGATATGGAGGTAGCATCCTATATCCAGTAACGATAGTTGCAAAATACGTAGTATTTTTATTTGCTAAATAAAACGTCTTATTCAACTTTACTTTCTTCCATTATCATTGAAAGTTAAACTGAAACGATCAATTATAGAAGTGGATTAATTTTATATACGTGAAGAAGTAAACATCGATAAATCTCAAAGATATATTCAGAGTTAACTTACAACAATCATGTATAATTGAGCTATTCTATATTCTTCAACGGTCATAGGTACCGGTATACGATACTCTTTAATAAGCATAATTTTGTTAATATCTTTGTAAATATGCTAATAAGTCTATTTTATATGTATCTTTATCAATGTTCTTCTTGTTTGTTGATTATTATAAAAACGGGTTATACATTTTGAGAAAATAACGTCTATATTATTAAAATCATTGACACAAAGCTAAATTAATTGATATTTGTTTAACAAAAATAGAGAATAATCAAAAAATATATATTCATATATGAAAAACATTAACCAGAATGGTATGTTGATTAAACAGATTTATCTCCACAACCACTATCACCACGTTTGTATTATATCAGTTTGTATTTAGTAGAATAATGATGATAAAAAAAAGAGAACCAAATGATTGTCAAGAGGATTGTAGCATATTTGACACATCTATAAACATGGAAATAAAATAAGATTATTAGACAGGTTGACGTTATATCTATAAGAGAATAAATAGACATGTTTTCCAATTTTTTTTTTATCTTATTCTTATTATAGTTCTATTCTTCTTTTTTGATAGATGTATTCATTGATTGTCCTACGATGATGATGATGATGATGATGATGAGCATACACATACAAATAGAGAATTTTTTTTTGTTAAGCGTCGTATTAGACTACTTTTATACGGAAAGTGCGTTGAAACAGAAAAAGAAAAAAAAAAAAAAAGAGAACTTTTTTATCCTGTTTTGACAAGAAGAAAAAAAACACATTACTGCGAAAATAAGAGAGAAATACATAAATGTTTGTTCTGTTTTCTTATTTTTTTATTTGTAGAACAAATGTGTGACATGTCCGCCATATAATGAAAAATATTTTTAATTGAGATATATGTATTTTATCCAACAATGTCGATATATATTATATATATATATGGGAAATATTTATCACTTTAATGCTCACAGCTGTTTTGGTTCTTTTTCTTTCTTTAACTTTCATTAACAGGAAAACAATAGCAAAATAAAAAAATAATTTGAAATCAGAACCAAATGTCTTATCACACGTAATAAAAATGACTTGTATGACAGTGAGTCAAAATAATGAACACCTCTTTTTAAAAATGTCTAACAACATTATTTCACTAACACTATTTCTCTTTATCAAAAGATAGTATATCATAATTAAAGATGCAAACAAGTTTCCGTTTTCCTATCAAAAATATACATCATCACGCATGTCAAATGATTCAAAGATTATTTATTATTTAACAATATAATTCACGAAAGCATAAGATATGTTTTTTTTTTAAAAGATAAGTTAAACAAACAATTAATGTAAAAAGTTCAATGATTTTATCTTGATAAAATAATAAAATATACTTCTCAGTTTACTTAGTAATAAAAGAATAAGACAAATTCAACTATTTATCTATGTTAAACAATAGATTGTTCAATTTAAATTATGAAAGACATTACTCTAGTTTTATCTTGTTATACTAATGATGCTTCTTCTCTATATCCAGCTCTGTTTTATGTTAATATCACTTGATCCCCATTAGCTATTGACTATAACATGCAAACACGAAAGAGAAAATTTCATCATCTTTTCCGAATACAAAGAAAAATGTCGGTTTTTTTTCCTTTATATATATCTTTCATGAAGGTTTCCTATTTTGTTGACGATCTGATCCTCATGATCATCATCACCATCATCATCATCATTTCAAATTATTATTTTTCGATCCCTACACTACCATCAACATTACAATCCTCCCACAACTTTTATTTCTCTTCCGGTTCGTTACTCTCGTGAATATAAAGAGAGAACGTGCACGATCGAACATCTATCTTTACGTAGAGAGAGAAAAAGAGAATAGGATAAAAATATCATTGAAAATAACTAAAGTCATCATCATCATCATCATTCAACATTCATGAAGAGGGTGTTTTGCTGTTTTTGAACTTTTGTTTAGTAATAAAAACAGGTCACAAGATTTTAGATAGCATCTATTCAATTTAAATTCCAAAAAAACATCACTTTTAATTGAAAACCTCAAAAAGAAATAGACTCGAAGTGTCCATGATAAGTTTTAATTTATACAAATGTAAAATAGATGACTATGAATAAAATCAATATATTTTAGACTATCTATTGATGAAAAAAAGATTTACTTGTCTTATTATTATTTCACGGGACATAAATAGTTTGTTATTAAGAATAATCTAAAACTATTTTAGCTTGTTTCCTATTATATTGAATAACGAAAGAAAAAATGCCAAAACAGTTTTGTTTTTGCCTCAAGGAAAAAACACACATTGAAAAGACTTCGTCTCTTTCATTAGATGCTTTTTTTAGAATTTTTTTTTTTTTTTTGAAGTCTTATTGATTAAGTGTGTTGTTTTGTAATCAATGATTCAATTTTTATTTATTTACGTACTTCATCTTTTTTTCCCTAAGGTTATATTTCTAAATTTTAGGATTTTCACTACACAAGGCGAAAATAGAGAGTCATACACACACCTTTACAATAGACAGTTCGAGGGTCGATAAACTGTCATAGACTGAAAATGAACTTCTCTAAAGTGGACGGTGGACATGCAGTGGACATTAGAGATAGAACTGAAACGTCGTTAAGATGGAAATTTCCCTATATTTTACACCCCTGGGATTCGCATAAAAAGGCTCCATGGATGTCTATTATAGGGGAGTATATCTAAAAATGGGACCTAGATGAGTGACTGTAAAAAAGAAACTCTCTTAAAATGTGTCTTACGAGCAATTTTCTTTAGATATTATTGTAAAATAGTATTTATCTGTGTCCTCTTAAAAACACCGCTATCAAATGTACCCCCCTTAGTTTATTTAAGTACGGCGCCTCATCTATTTATACTAGTCAAAACTTTATTGAAAAAACTACTTACGTAGCACGATCTTTTAGCAGAAGGTCATATTGTAGTTACAATCATCGTTTTTGCCTTGCGTGATGCATTATTATATATAAAACAGAATCTATACATTAAACAATTCTATTTTTTCTTTAAAATCTATAGTACGTAATTACATAAACATGTGCAGGTGAGAAATATCAAATTAGATATACACATACGTCGATAGTTTTTTAAAAATAATTTACTTGAAAAATTTACTTAAAAAATTTTTTTTTATAAAGTTACTTAAAAGAGAGAATATCATTTATAAATTGTCTTTTCAAAAAAAAGAAAATTCTCTCTTACATATAACCCCTTCAAACTCCGACTGATTGTGTAAAAAAAGAGTTTGTTAAAGTAAGGAACAATGTACACTACTGACATTTGAGAATAATCGCCTTTTAAATTCGATGATCACGTTTATAATTTAAAAAAACACCTAGGTACAGTACACGCCATGTAAGAAAATCCAAGACAAATATTCACGGTAGTAACGTGTCGTGTCGATCGACAACAAAAGTAGGGTACGAAATCATTTTTTCAAACACGGAAAGTAACAAAAAACACAATTTTCAAGAAAATTTTTTGTATCCTTATTAAAACAAGCTATGAATTGTTCTTTCTTTGTTATGCTTTCTACGGAAATTTGAAAATATAATCATCCTCAGAGACAGACAGACACAGGGTGCGAAATAATTTGAACTAGAAAAGAATAAAAATAGCTCAGATACTAGCAGAAATATTATCTTTAGAGTAGTGTAGAAAAATAAAAAATTCATCCTCTAGAAAAAAGTTTGTCGGTTATTTTGCTCATCCCAGGAGGGGTGCATAACTACTTAGTGAGAACAAGTAAAAAAATAATATTTCGTGCAGTGTTAAATAACGGAGTCTTAATCAAAATTTTCCTACAGCGATTTTTGAAAATACTGCGTTAATAAGATCTTGTAATGATGTGTGAAAAAAGGATATCTGCAAAAAACATTTTGACATGTCATCATTCCTCACTGTATCTTCTGTCTGAAATGTGTGAGATGTTGAAAAAAAGACTTGCACTGTGTTTAACGATCTACTCCTAGCATTGTCTTTGCTTTGTATGTTTTAGTTCAAGTTTTGCATTAGGCTTTGCTGATGTTATAGAAATTGCTCATTTTTGATTCTCACTTTCATTTCATTGCGGAACTAATCAAATTTTTTGGTTTACAATCTTCATCTTACTCGTATAAGACAACAGAAACGTGTGAAATATTGTTTTTATTTTCACTCACTCTTCCTAATTAGTTGTCATGCCTTCTGAGTAGGCATGCAACAGATGTTTTTCGTACTTTTCAAAAAATTGTTTGTATTTTCGTAACAGCGAACTGTGAAATTTTCTGAAATCAGTAGTTTTATAAAGGAAACATTTCTCTACAAGATGGCATATCGTAGATATTTTTAAAGTTGTTTGGATTGTTTAAAAAACGTTTCTGATAGAATGACTCAACAGTTAAAAACCTAACCGCAGTTTTAACTGCTAGGTCATTTTATCAAAAACGTTTTTTAAACAATCCAAGCAACTTTAAAAATATCTACTATATAAAACTGCTGATTTCAGAAAATTTCACAGTTCGTTGTTGCGAAAATACAAACAATTTTTTGAAAAATACGAAATAAAAACTGTTGCATGCCTACTCCCGAGAAGAGCAAAGTATCTGAGAGAATTGCCAAGAAACTAACCGTAAATATAAAATTTACAAAAATGATTCGACAACTATGTAGTAGAAAATGAAAGAATAATGAAAAATGCTCAAATGGAATAATTCGCAAAAAAACATTTGGCAAAGGAAAGTCGAAAATGTTATTTGAATCTTCCGTTTGAGTAGAGTCCGAAAATCGAATCCACCTTTTGACTTATACACGTATCGAACATTAAGAAAAAGTTATATGAAAAAGTGGAGCTTTTTTCGACCTTTACAATTTTGTTTTTTTAGGATTTATCTAAATCTAAATTACGTCTATTTTATATGCGTTTTATCGAGAATCTCACGATGAATTTCTAAAGTACTTATTATGGTATGCATAATATTTCGACACAGTAAAATAAAGTTTGGAACAGTTTGTCTGATTCAGATAGATGGTATAGAAACGATCATAGAACTAATAGAACTCAGAAGAAATATCAATCAACGATATATTTACTGTTTTTTTTGGTAGTCTTTTAGATTGGAAAATAATTACAATAAAAATTATCATGATTATTCTTTTAACGTAAAAGAATAAGATCTAATATACACAGGCAATAAATTTTTGATTATATTCAAGACTATTTTCTCGCTAATAGACAGAGAATAGCAGTTAAACAATAGGAAACATAAAAGAATATTGTCAGCTAAGATGGCGCCGACAGACCGGATCAGTTTCTTCGTAAAAAATAAATTAATTCTTATAAAAAGAAAAGGACTACAATTTTTCGATAAATCTTTTTTAACAACATATTTAAAATACATGTATATTTAAAGATATTTTAAAACAGAAAAACACAAATATGAAAATTTTTAAAAAATTCTATCGTATATGTGTAATCATGAGAAAAATAGATTTGTACGTTGAGCAAAAATAAATAATAAACCCGAAAATAATTGGTAGTCGAATAAAGTGTTGCAATATGAATCGATCAAAAAAATAAAATAAAAATAAGTAAAATTAAAGCCATAAAGAGAATAACTCGAGATAAAAATTCATGATGTGCTCGATCGGGTGTACCAGATGGAGCTAAAAAATACAAAAATATATGCTGATAATTTTATATTGAAGTTTTAATCATATCATACGTACGTGTTTGAGATCGTACATCACTATTATTTAAATTAAATGTAGTAAATAGTCCAAATGGAAATGCACCCACTCCAAATGACATTTGAAAATTGACACCATCTCCCAAACCAAAACTCTTCAAATATAAAAATAGTAAATAAAATAAAAGAAGAATTAAAAAATAAATTAGTTTATACTCGATTTCGCCTCGCTTCTTGACGTTGTCCAGCTGGTCTAGGAGGAACATTTTCTCTAGAAATAATTGAATAAATCTAATATAAATATTGTCAATTTAATATTAGACTCTGTATACCTTGGATCTTTTTGAGGTGCATTACGACCATAAAGTGGTACCACTTTGTCCTTCGATATAACGGCTTTACATACAGGACATGTAGGATTATTCGCTCTAGTTTCAATCCTTAAGAAAATTTAAATAAAATCTGCATATATCTACATAACTTATCTTAAGTAACTCATACCATTGATGTAAACATGGCCAACAAAATAAGTGTCCACACATAGATACAACAGCATCATGTGCTGTCTCTAAGCAAATATTGCATTCAAAACCGGTATCTTTATTTGCACTGTTATTCGATGATGAAGAATTATCATTTGCATTATTAATATTACTCGCAAAACTAGATGAAGCATCCGTTGAAGTATCCATTGAAAGAAATTAAATCTAAAAAATAAATAAATGAACTGACAAAATTCACATTGAAACTTAATAAATAATTAGATACACTAAAGACAGCGGGAGTCTACGTTATGGTGCGTTTGAGGCATAGACGATACATTGAAAATATATTTGCTGTCTTGTTAAGATGAGCTAGAGCAAGGGAGTTGGACTTAATGTTTAAAGAAGTGCGCTTTAAAAATAACTATTACATAGTCATAAGGGACTGAAAACCTACTCAAGTTTGAATCACCCACCACTGCTTCAGGTCTAAAAAATCTAAGCCCACAGGGGTCTACAAACTAAAATTTTTATTTCTCGGTGAGAATTTGATCGTTAGATCTAACATTATTCTAAATGGGTAACTCAACTTACTCTACAAACTTGTGATGACAAATCATTCGACTCGAAGCTGAGAGAAAGAGAGAGAGAGAGAGAGAGAGGTTTAATTTTGAAAAACAAACAAACCTTTAAAAAGACGCTTGACTCAAAGTCTTCTGCCTGAGTCAGAGTTCCTGAATGGGTCTTCAGAGACATGGTTGCTCATTACTAGCTTTTGCAGAGAGTTAAAACTTTTAAACTAAAAATTCATTAACAAACTACCTACAATTTCCGTTTTTCAATCACTGAGAGTATTGAAAATACTGATAATGTGTACTTCGGTACGCGCTGATGTTTTCATTTTTTACATAAATAAAGTTTAAATCCACTACCTACAAAGGATTATTTTCAAAATTGTGTCATCTTACACGCATATCCGTTAACGTAGATAAACAATATCTCCTTGTGTCTTTTTATGAACAACTATTATTAAATCAAATAAATGGCAAGCATGTGACGTTAAAATGAGGAAAATCTAACTTTTAATTTTCCAACGAGAAGTTTGTTGCTTCAAACGTTAAATACGTGAGATTATACTGTGTGAGAAAAGCTGTCGATACTAAACATGTAAAGTAACATTTTCATCTAATCTCATAACAAAGGGAAAAACATGTGACATTGCACAAAAACAACATTAATACTGTAATTTTCCCACATATTTCATCTGGCTTTTCCCCCTTGATTTTAGTGTAGGGTCTTACAAAATTGTTGTTTACCAGTGTTTTATATACAGAAATGATGAAAAACACTCACGTGCTTAACAGCTTTAATTGGCTGTTTTCTGCCATTTATATTTCCACAAGAACTTTAAAAATGAATAGTTTCTACTTTGTGATAAAGATAGATATGATGTAAGATTCACAATCGTTTCACTCATTATTTTTTTAGTATACTTTAATATAGTTTAGAACTGCATTTAGATAAGAACAATTTTACCTGCATTCTATCGCTGATCTTATTAACTGTATTTTCCAATTAAAAGTTGTTTTCTCAAACTTGCATTACATTTTATTGTGAGATGATGACATGAGTCTACCGGACGAATTTGCAAAATTTCTTCAACCGCTCATATTAGATTTTGATAACGCAACTGAACAAGTTCGGTTAGCTAAGATCATGAAAAATTTTTACAAAGAAAAATGAAACAATTTTGTTTTTTAATTTTTTTAGTCAACGTCAACTTCAACTTGGTAATTGTTTAAACTCATTGAATGATGGTAAACATAGAGAAGTTGCTTGTTTTTTAATAAAGTCTAATAGAAAAAATTTTATTCTATTCAGAATTAGCTGCATTATACAAACAATGTCCAGGTGATAGTGAAGTAGAAGATTATATTAAACGAATTCATTTACTTCGACAACGAATTAATGAAGCAAACATTCAAGTTCGAATTATCGAGGTATAATGAATCGTTTTTAGGTTTTCTTTATACGCTTATTTTCTTATTTTTCTAGGACCGTATGTCAAGAATGGATCAGATTGTAGCCAAATCACGAACATAATCACGATTTTTATAGATGTTGTAAATATTTATATTGCTGTAGTGGTTATTCATTCTAAAGAATAAAGTTTTATATCTGTGAAACAAAACGTTGTATTTTTTCTTGCAACGAATGTCTACATGTACTTTTTTTATCAATATATTATTGAACCAATGAGCATGAAAAAACTTAGAAAATTCAAAACAAAGGAATAAATCATACACACTTTGTAAATGAAATGTTTACGTATATTACAAAAAAAAATATAAACAAGAAAATAAAGACGTAAAGTAAAACACAAGAAAAATACGAGCAACAGTTGAACCTTCGTATTAAAGTTCACTTTACATATAAATTGATTTTGCAGCTGGTGTAGTTTAAAGACTAGAATCAGAAACACAAACAATTTCGAATAAGAAGAAATATGACACATCTCTAGAGATGAATCGAAGCTCATTTCATCAACTAAAATTTTGCCATATATTTGCGCGACAGCGCACAACTCATAAACGAAAGACAAAAAAAAGTAATTTCTTTTGAAATATTCGTTTCTGTTGCATAATCTTGAATAAATGTCACTTCTGCTGATAATGATTATTACAGAAGAAAACAATTTGCATGTTTTTCACAATAATTTTAGTATTATGAAACATGATATGAAGTTCAAATAAAAAATAACAAAAACATGACAACGCTCACTGTTCAGAAAAAGAGATGACAGTAACAACAATCACGAGAAAAAAGAGTGGCGTAATAAATGGTCTTTTGTAAATGTTAATCAGATTAACCACGAGCACGTAGAAACTCATTCAGCTTATCACATGATGGTGTTCGTTCCCCTTGTGCCTGTAAAAGTAATCCTTTATCACCAAGCATTCTTGCACGCCATATCATCGACTCTCCTGAAAGAAGAAGAAATAAAAGAACATGAGTGGACTAAAAAAATGGCCCTATGAAGAAAGACATACGATATTGTTGTTCTCTATAGCACTGATTTTTTAGATCTGAAACATATTCTTCTAAAACAGCTGCTTCAAGTTTCTCGAGTTCATGTGGTCTTGGTGTTTTGGGGAAATCTTGTTTAACAAAATACTGAACACCATGTGGATGTGTTGTTCGAGGAATGACAAATTTACTAAAACAGATAACATCAAAAATAAAGACAAATTTTTATTATATTTATCAAAATGTACCCAGTCCGATGTAACATAAATTGCGGATCCGTAACAAATAATGTACCAAGAATTGATATAAGAAATAAAAATAAATAAGGTAGAATTTGTGCGATCGTGTGTGATGTCTATAAAGAGGAAGAAAAGTATAATAAAACTCGGAACAATTTGAATGATAAGTTCTAGTGCTTACATTTTGCGTTGTTGTTGTTGATGATGAATGTGTTGTAAAATGAAATGTGTTTGGTTGACGTCTCCGATATACACGGTTAGTTGGTCCTAAAATATGTGTTTCAAAAGTAAAATATATTCCAGAGAAAGTCATCTCTATTGAAAACTCGATAACAAAACAATAAAAGACCATTGAACACTTTTCATGTTTTCGATTGCGATAAACTTGTCGCGCAATGTGATTGCATTGTGGCGCATAATGCGGGATCTTGCGCTCATAATTGTAATCCTCCGATCGTGATTACGATCACAATAGTACAAGTATGCACAGTTTTCACTTGTACCACAAATATTAAAAAATCAATGATGTGTGTTTTAACTGGGCATCCTCAGCAGAGCTTTTCATATTTTTAGTCTATATAAATATAACTTGCTGTTCGTTGTTCGACAACTAGACAGTATTCATTTCATTCAAAGTGTCTTATTTTGTACCTGTATAACCAAAAAATAGGTTAAATATTTCTTCGGCAGAGAAATCATCGTCATCTTCAAAGTAATATGCTTGCTGTGATCGACCATTGCGTCTGTTCTGAGAGTATGAAGGTGCCTCCATCGATGTTCCGTATAAATCATATTGTTCGCGTTTTTTAGCGTCACTCAAAATTGCAAACGCTTTCCCAATTGCTAGAAACAAAACAAGTATTCAAACATGTAATGAAAATGAATAAATTTATTAGGTACCTTTAAATGCATCCGTAGCGCCGGGCGCTTTACACTTGTCTGGATGAAACTAAATAGTAACAAAACGATTTCCTACTCTATAAATGTATTCATTCTTCAACATACCTGTAATGCTAGTTTTCGATAAGCCTTTTTCAAATCAGCATCTGAAGCAGTTTTTGGTACACCCAAAATTTCATATAGATCCTTACACGTTTTTATTCTAAAAGACAAAAAAAGAAAATAAGCGAATATATCTCAATACAATATGTAAGACTCATACTTTCGAACAGCTTCTACTTCTTCGGATGTGTAATCATTTGACGTTGTTGTTGAATGGGTGTTTGTATTATTATGGGCATTCGGATGGCTTCTAGTCGAAGACGTTCGTTGTCTTGTTGTGGTCGAACTAGTTCCATGACCATTTGTTTGTGGTTGGTCTGTGTCATTATTTGACGATGATTGTGTATTTGTATACATTAGTCTTTCAAGAAGATCTAAAGAGTTACAAAAATATTACTTAATAAATAGAATTAAAAGAAATCGCTTCTAAAACAATCGGATTCCTACCTTTTGCATTTTGTGTTGGATAGAGTTCGAGGGATTTTGAAAGAAATCTTATAGCCCGATCATGATCTCCGGTTAATATGGCTTTTTCAGCTAATTCAATACACCTCAAACCTTCGGCTTTATTTGCTTCCATAGAATATTTTTTAATACTAGTCAAAAGACATTACGATTAACGTTTTGAATTAAAATAGAACGGGAAATTGCTTTGAATTTAACTGTACTAACAACATCGACGTTTCGCACAACAAATAACACCGCAAAAAGAATAGAAAACAGTAAGGTAAAAGAGTAATTAAAAAATATAAATCATCGAACGCCAGCCATTATCCACGCTTCATACGTCAAGAGTAAAACATAGTCCAGGTTAATTCATCAATCAGTTTTACGGTCGCAAGGTAGCGCTGGTTTACGCACACGTACAATGCTGCACAATTAATTATCCACAAATACTTATTAATTAACCACGGAATTAAAAGACTAACATTTTCTGTTGAAAGCTTTTTCGCATAGTTTGATTCTTTCATAAATGACAAACATTTCCTCGTGTGTCGCGTGATGTTTCATATCTATCAAATGCTCATTCTTTTCAGAAAAATGTGACTAACATTGTATAACGCTAAACTAAACTACGTCATTGTTCTGAACATAACAAAACTGTTTCAATTCTTTCAATGAACACGACTAAAATAAAAATTGTTTGAATATTTCCTTATATGTTTTTCATAACAATGTAAGATAATACGAGGACAATAAAATGTCATATTTCAATCGTGGTTTTGTTAATTGGCGAGTGCACATTTTCAAATTTTCCATCAAACCGAATTTTTCAGAACTTTTTTCACTTTTCATTAGTCCATTCAATAGTACAGGGTGAATGAATACAAACATAAATAGATCGGTTCTATAGCTAATTGAATTTCTTGCTACAGAATGTCCCAAAAAAACCTTATTCTCTCTGTATTTATTGGCTTTCTTGTGTACAGATATAATTGATCGTTTTATCATCAGTTTAGTCGGGTACAGCAAAGCTTTCTGGACAAAATGAGACGTCTCTGAGCGCTCTAAGAGCTTTTCTTATAAAACAGCAGTTAATTTACGAAAGATCCCATACCACCAAAATCAGCAAAATCAACGGAAAAACAAGAAAGATACGCTCCGCTCCGTAAACTGAATGCTGTTTCATGAGAAAGCTCTTAGAGAGCTCGGAGACGTCTCATTTTGTCCGGAAATCTTTACTCTATCCGACTAAACTGACGGTAAAAAGATCAATTATATTTGTACACTAGAAAGTCAATAAATACAGAGGGGGTAAGCTTTTTTGGGACACCCTGCATGCAGCACGATATTCTAAAATATGTAATACGGCGAGTTCGATAAAATCATTTTCTTTTACCTATTTTTCCCCTTTCTATCCTATCTGTACATATTGTTTGTGTTTTTTCTATTCCACACCGTGATTCAATTTGCGAACGAAATTTTCATATTTTCAGAAACTGCGTGCTGATGATCTGAATCAATTGATCTACGTTTTCAGACATTTTTAGTGGAACTATTTATATATCCTGTGATTCTTCGCTGAATGCGAGAACAACGGTATAACGGGTGCTCCAGAAATAATGTCCCTCTCCGTATTTTCTCAATATTTGGGTCAAGGTTGATTGTCAAGGCTCAATCTTTGTTTTAAAAGATTCCTCATTCAATTCTGTATAAAAAACATATTGAATATTTCTTTATATACTATGAGAACAAAAAAATATATAGAAAATATGGCAAAGTTTCAGTCAGGAGTGGCACTTTACCTTTACTTTACTTGTAACTAATAACGAACTTAGTTACTCGTTGCTAGTAACTAAGTAACTAACGTAACACCGAGTAACTAGTAAAGTAAAGATAAAGTGGCTCCTCTAGTTTCAATATCGATTACTTTCAAACCCACAGCGCAGCCGAAAAATATTTATTTTGAAGACGGCGCTATGCATCAAAATAGAATCGAAATGTATTTTCCCATGCTTTGGAATGTCACCTTGCTTTTCTTGTATCATAAGTTCGCTACAAATATTTTTTTCTGCCACGAACGAAGATTTTTCTAAAAGTAAAAAAAAGGGAAAATTTGATTTATTCGCCTTGGCACAGGAAATGAAATGGGGCTATTCGACTTTCGCTGTTCGGATGTAACCGAAGAATTATTTTGTTTTATGATAAACCAGATCGGACCACATAATGTGTGGTTTTGACCGAATAATACAAATCTTCTTAAATGCTTCAAAACTACAGTTAGAAAATGACGATTTTGGCCAAAATTGCTAAAAGACAAAAAGATCCTTCTGCGACCACTGAGCCTATGAAGTCTTAAAAGTAGCTAGCTGATAGAGCTTTTCGAGAACTACAAAATGACCATATTCTCTTTTTTTATATCGCAAAATATAAGGAACTGAAATTGAAAAACATGTTTTTTGTGTTTGAAAGTAATCGATATTGAAGCTTTGCTGTATTTCCTCTGTATTTTTTTATTCTGATAGTACATAAAGAAACATTCAGTTTGTTTTGTGTAGAGAATTGAGTGAGGACTCTTTTAGAAAAAGTTGAGACTTGACGTTAGTAGCGATACATTACAACAACCGGACCGGTCAGACGCCCATACGTGATATTTTGTTCGCCGTAATGATGAGTTAGCTTTTTCACTTCATTTACAATCAAAATTTTTCTCTTCAGAAGTTGGTTTCACGCCAATGGTTTTGCAGACAATTTATGTCATTTTTACAATTTTGTTTACGACATATACCCCTGGAAAGCAAAAGCTGGATTCAGTATTTGAGCTCTTTTGATACCATAAAAGGATGTTTTGAGAAAAGTGAATATACCATTAGATAGCGCGTGAAATTCTGTACAAAACTGTGTATTTCGATTTTATCTTGACTTCATGTATTGAAAAATAAATCGAGTGAAATGAAGATGCCCTCAAGATGAGATTCCCACACGCCTGTATTTTTCACCGTTTTTCCAATTAATACTTCAGATAGATTATGTCTTAAGCAGTGGTCTTTTGGAAAAGTAAGTAGATATTCTGATAGCCCTGGAAATCCTCCATAACCCTGTATATTAACTTATTTTCTAACATCTATCGATTAAAAAAAAATTCGAGTGTTCAGTGAGCGTATTGTAGTTGACAAAAACCAAAAATCTATTTTTTTTCCTTTTTTCGAAATTTAGCCACTATAGTAATCAGTTTTTAAGAAAGAAAATTATAGATTCTGACAGTACTTGAAATTCTCTATCAATCTATATACTTTGGTCTTTCCTTGCTTTTATGTGCGGAAGAATAATCCAAGTATAAAGTGATTAACCTCTTTGAGAAACCAAAAAAAATCGGTTGTTTTAGCAAGACTTTTCTGTTTATTTCA